CTCTCTTACTTAGACCATAGACATTCTTTGACTTTCGCACGCTTCGTTGCTCTCTGCTGCTTGGCTTACTAACCGATGCGCAAGTCGCTCAATGACGCCAACGTGCACTGCATTTCCTAAGGCCTTGAAAGCACGCTCCCTCGTCAAAGGCAATTCATGGTGATCAGGGAATTCTTGAAGACGCCTTCCTTCTATGCGTGTCAAGGCGGATGTACGGTGAATTCCAAAATCTCCTTACGGTAGGTTCCAAGGATTTCACTCGCATCGTTTCCACTGGCGTTGAGCAAAAATACCCCAACCAAACTTCCGATCAATTGAAGTTCTTGCCACTTCTGGCCGTTGTCGTCGTCCTTAAATTTCGCATACCAGCAGTCTGCAGATGAATGCGCTGTTAAACATTTTTCTAGTTCACGGACATATTCAACTAATGTCGGTTTGCGACCAAGCTTGTGACTAGGTGTATCTCGTATGGTGGACAACAGTTCGTCAATTTGCTTCGCTGTTGAGCGAATCAACAACTCGCCATTTTCTTCGGAGGGTTGGAATAGCAAAGCCGTCAACCAACTCAGCATTTTTGTACGCTTGTATCGCGCAGTTCCAAATCTGTATCCGTCTAAACATCCAGATATTTCATCCAGTAGCACATACTCTTCGTGAGGAAAATATGGGGCGAGGTCTTTTGCATTGCGGTTATCACCTGACGCGACGAGCAACAGTTTGACGAGTTCAACTTCATGAAACAAAGCATTGCGAATTTCTTCGGCATTCAGATGCTTTCCCTGCTTGTTATACAGATGAAATACTTCCTGAATTTGCCTTGGAGTTGCTTCGGAGTACTCAATCAATGGGATTTTGTATTGACTCTTTCGTTCGAAGACTTGATTTACAGTCTCCTGCCTTTTTCCCACATCAATAGTAACGCCTGATATCTCGCAGTAATATCTTCCAGCCAAATCTTTCAGCGAACCCCTGAGTGCTCTAGAACTACTCTTCAGGGGAAATGGGAAGTAGAGTTGAGTCTCAACTTTGTCTGTCAACGTGCTGCCAACAACACGCTTCCATACTTTCCTAAATTTCCGATAGTCCTTTTGAAATAAATCCTCTAGCTTCGCATCTGGATACTTAGCCGACTCTTTTTTCACATGCTTCAAGGCTTCCGGATGCTGCCCGATGAAACGCAAAATTGATGTCAGCCGCTGCTTACCATCCACAACC